TGCCCATTGACCAAATATTCCCTACTTGCAGTCTCTATGCTACAGTCTTAGATTTCATAGACCGTGCCAGGTATGGCAGTGCATACGTATAACCCCAGCACTCAGAGAGGCTGAGGCAGGAGGACTGCATGTTCAAGACCAGCCTGAGCAATTTATTTTATTTTATTTTATTTTATTTTAAAGAGAATGAAAAAAATAACAAAATAACAGCATAGAGAAAAACAAAACAACATGAAAACAATAAAAATGACACAAGGTTTCTTTTTTTTCTTTTTTTGTCTTTTTGAGACAGGTTCTCACTGTGCAGTTAAGGCTGACCATGAGCTCACCTTGTAGCCCAGGCTGGTCTCGAATTCGAGAGGATCCTTCTGCCTCAGCCTCCCAAGTGCTGGGATTACAGGTGTGCGCCAGCACACCTGGCTGACACAGGGTTCTGAAACAAAATGATAAAGCCGGGTGTCGTGGCTCACATCTGTAATCGCAGCATTTGGGAGGCTGAGGCAGGAGGATCATTGTGAGTTTGAGACCAGCCTGGGATATAAAGTCAGCTCAAAGTCAGCCTGAACTGCATTGTGAGACCCTGTCTCAAAAAGACAAAAAAAAAAAAGGATTAACAGTGGTTGTTATATTACATATTGCTTTCTTCAAGGAAGCCTGGGCAATTTAGACCCTGTCTGAAAGTTAAAAATGGGCTGGGGATGTGCGGCACAAAGGCTGTGACTTCAGCCCCCAGCACGGGAGAGGAGCCTGCAGGGCCCTGTGAGCCTGCGCTGCTAACTGCTAACTGCTCTGCCGTCTGCGTGGGTGCCGTGTGCTGCTCTCCGGCCAGGACTCCGTCCTCCCCACTGTGCGTCGGCCTCGGCTTCACCCCTGTCCCGACACAGCCTCGGAGGAGCTCGCTCCCGCGGCCCAGGTCCTTGTGTGCTGCTGATCTCCACAGGCACGTGGGCGCCCGCAGGCCGGGCTCTGCCCTGGCCCCGTCCAGGCCCCGCGTGGTTCTTTCTTCCTGCTGGGCCTGAGGAAGCTGCTGGGGAGATCCCGGAACAGCAAGGCCGCAAAGAATCACAGCCTCCCTTTCTAGGATATTTTTTCTTTTTTTTTTCTTTTCTTTTCCTCCCTCCCTCCCTGCCTGCCTGCCTGCCTCCCTCCCTCCCTCCCTCCCTCCCTCCTTCCTCTTTCAATAGGGTCTTCCTGTGTTGCCCAGAGTGGCATCAAGCTTGGCCTGGGGCTTTGGACTCGGAGGAAGAGGTCTGGCCGTGACCCCCCACTCCCAGGCTCCTCTCCGGAAGCAGCAGTCAGGCGCCCCTAGGTTGAATGTGTTCCATGGAGCTGCGCCTTTACCGCCCCCCAGCCCTGTACCCTGTGAAAGCAGAGACCCAGCTCTCTCCACTAAATACTTCGTTTGTTTTTTTTTTGTTGTTTTTTTGAGACAGAGTCTTACTATTAGACTCACTATGTAGCCCAAGCAGCCCTTGAACTTGTGGTGATTCTCCTGCCTCAGCCTCCCAAGTGCCTCACCAAGTACTTGATGAATGAACCCCTCACTGGGGGGCTCCCATGTTTCCTTAGTGATTTCTGTGGCTTCTTCATGCATTAAGGTGTCATCACTTTGTCCTTGGCTGAGAATACTTCCTCTGGGCTGTCCTTCCAGAGGTGGGCAGGAGCCTGGAGTTTTTGTGTGAACAGAGCTATTGATTCCTTGGAGGGCTGCTTCAGTCTCTGTTGCACTCAGGGTTTGCCAGGGAATGGATTTAATGCAGCACACACAACTATAGGATAATTTTCACCCAGAGAGTCAAGTGTGAAAGGGTATGGGAAATCTGAGGGCCTGGAACCCCCAGCAGTGTCCTCCACGAGTCCAGCTGGAGGCCAAGAGCCCACGCAGTGTCTCACACAAGTCTGTGTCAAGGACCCGCACTGGGAAGGCCCAAAGGTCATGGTGGAAGCTAGAGAGTCTGTGCCAGCGGGATGAAGGATCTGTGCCAGCAGCTGAGGGATCTGCCCTGGAGCCAGGAAGTGACGCTCAAGGTAAGCAGCAGAGCTCCCCCGAAGAGAACCGCAGCCATCCTCAGTGAGGGCAAGAACCTGAGCTCCTCTGATGATGAGAACAGCTGAGCTCATACCAGGAAAGCCAGTGTGACAGGCTTCTCCAGAAGAACCAACAGCACCACCCTCCCCTCCAGTTCTCCTTTTCTGCTTAGCAGCAGGCCCCAAAGGGGCCCTCCACACCAGCACCACGCTGCCTCAGGGGGCTGGGTGTCACAAGCTGACCATTAGGGCATCCCCACAGTCTCCCAAGCTCGGAGCATCTCTGCTTACCACGCTGGCTGCCTGATAAGTAGGTCCTGGCTGCTATTTTCTATCCTGTGCTGTCAGCAGGGTGCCAGCACTTCACTCCCATGCTAAAAATGTTTAACCACCTCGCAGGCCTACAGAATAAAGTCCAAACTCTTACTCCCCCGAGAGGCTCCATGGCCAAGCCGCCTCGCTGTCACTCCTGAGTCTCGCGGACCCAGAGCCGCCCACTTCCAAGCAGATGTAAAAATCCCACTCATCCTTCAGCCTTACCTCTCCAAAAGCACCAGCCGGGGCAGTGAGTGGTGGAGGGAGGAGACACCGAGCTTTGATGCTGGGCACAGGGCATGCAAGGTGCAGGGCTCAGGCCTGTGACCCAGCTACTCCAGAGGCTGAGGCAGGAAGGTGGCAAGTGAGCAAGGCTCTGTCTCAGAAAATAAGAAAGGGGTGGGGATGTAGTTTAGTGCAAAAGACCCTGGGCTCAGTTGCCAGTATATAAAAAAAAGCTAATCCTCAAATAATCCTCCCAGTTTTAAATTGGGTAAACTGAGGCTCAAACTAGCATCAATGTAGTTGGATCTATACATATTGTCTTCACAGCCAGAGAAAGGATATGCTCAGGGGCCTGGGCAACCTGGGCAGCAGGGTGGGGGCTGGGGAGCCCTGGACCCCATGGAGACGGGCAGGGCCCTGGCATGGGGCCCCTGTGCTGCCTTAGCAGGCGGACAGGGTGCCAGCCCAGCTGGAGAAGCTGGGTGAGTCCCTGGGGACGGGGGGGGGGGGGGAGGGTGGCCACCGGGGACCGTGAGCAGCGCCCACCTCGGTCCGGAGGTCTGGCGCAGCCGGCCCTAACCCCAGGGCGGCACTGACCTGGACCGGCGAGCCTATTGGGGGCGGTAAAGGAGACGTCTCCATCCTGGAGCTCAGCCTCCCTAAGTGCTGTCCTCGGGCCACCCCGCCTCAGACAGTGCCGGGGCTGACCTCACAGCTGGCTGACAAATCTCCGCGCGCCCCACCCTGGTTCTCAGCCCCGCAGGGCTGGGCCTGATCTCAGTCCCGCTGCCACCAGGCAGCCTCCTCTCTCCTCCCTCACACCCGGAACCGAGCTCGGGACCCAGGCAGAGGCCAGGCTACAGGGGCTTCCAAGTTCCACCTCGCGGCCCTGCTCGCCAAAGCGGGGGACAGGGGCAGCCAGCTGCAGAGCCCTGGGAGGTCTGGTGCTGCCCGGCCAGGTGTGCAGGCCCAGCTGGCCGGAGGCGGCAGGCGGTGGCCCGGAGCCTCCCCTCGTGACCACAGGGATGATGGCAGGGACGGAGGCCCCGGGGGACTCTGGACCCTGTTTCCCCCGCCCGGCTGCCGCAGGGGCCGCCCAGCCTCGGTGTGCAGGCCGGCGCTGGCTCCGTCTCACAGGCGGCTCAGGATCCCCAGCTCCCCGCCCCGTCCAAGCTGGGTCAGTGTCCAGACAGCAGCGCGTTTCCCTGCATGGTCCCGGCTCCCCGCCTCAGTTTCCCCACGGGGCTTGGCAGGGAGGGGTGGCGCTGGGCTTTGTGCTCCCCGCTTTGTGGGGTGAGGGGCAGTGCCCTCCTCTGCGCGTCCTGCCCTGTCCCAGTTAATGGTTTCCAGGTGAGGAGAGGCCAGGCCAGGAAAGGGGGTCAGCGAGGAGCAAAACAGGAAGGGGTGGGGCGGCAGGAACCCCACAGGCCTCGGCAGGGAGGCGCATCTGGTTTGCATTAGGCCGGCAGCTCCTCCCAGGATGGGCAGAGGACAGAGAGAGGGGAAGGCCCAGGCGCAGGCATGCTCAGGACGGCTCCGATCACCCGCGGGGAGCTCAGCCCCATCGCAGCGTTGAGCTCCAGAGAGGTTACGCAACTCCGCTAAGTCACACAGCCAGGCCAGGGAGGGCAGGTCAATATTAGAACCCAGATCCCGCAGACAGGGCGGCCCATCCCTGCCATCCCCTGCGGGGGGGAGTGGCGAGGGTGCCCCGCAGCTCAGGCCTGCTGGAAACCCAGGAAAGAGGCTGGGCAGGCCAGGAGGGGCGGGAGCCCGCCAGAGCGAGGGAGGCTGCAGGCAGAGGGGCACATCTGCCAAGGGCAGCTGGCCTGACGTGCCCTAAACATGGGGAAACTGAGGCACAGAGGGGCTAAGGTACCGAGAGGCCCCAGCCCTGGACATGGGGTGTCCCCGACCACGCGCCAACTTGTCCCCGAGAGGCAGCGGCTGAGTTCCAAGGGGAGACTGAGGCCTGGGTGGGAAGAGGGCTGCATCCTGGAGCAGGTGGTGCGGGGCCGGCAGGGAGGGGACCTGAGCCTGTAGGGGCCGCTCCCGCCCCAACCCTCCGGCCCAGGAGCGGGAAGGAGTTCCCGGGAGTTAATAATTAGGGCTGCCCTGCAGGCGGAGGAGATAGGAACCACCCAGGCACCGCCCTGCAGCCGCTCCTGTGAAGACAGATAGCGAAGGCTCCCGAGGCGCAAGGGGCCTGCAGGCCAGCATGGCTTCCTCCGAGAAGCCCCCCAGGTGCCCCGCGCGGGGGCCGTGCCCTGTGTTCCTGGCCATGAGCTCGGGCGCTGTCCGCTACGCCCCCACCAGCCTGTGCCCTGTGCTGGAGGGGAACCCCGGAGAGGAGTCCTGGGGCGCAGAGAGGTGAGCAGGGAGCAGGAGCCGGCGAGCACCCCTGGGCTCCAGAGGCCCCTGTGGCGGGGATGTGACGGGCCACTGGATGGCTCGGGAAGGGCAAGGACAGGCCTGCAGGCCACTCAGCCAGCCCAGGACAGATCTGGTCCAGAGGGGACCTCACCGGGGCCCTGCGGGGGCCTGGGTGCCCGGCCGGGGCCCTGCGGAGGCCTGACCTCATGCAGCACAGTGTCCAGGGAGTCCTCTGGCTCTAGGCTGTTGGACCTCGCCGCACCTTGCTGGGTGACACCAGGTGGGGCCCCCACGTCTCCGGGCCGAGCCTGGGGGATGTGGAGCAGGGCCACCGTACCACCGCGAGTGGACCGCAGAGCAGCGTGGTTTTGATCAGCACTGGTATCCACGTCCCCAGGGCTGACACACTTGAGCTCTGGGGTCCTCCTCAGCCAGCCCGCGAAAGCAGCAGTCAACAAACATGGGTCATCTATCTGCTTTGGGCCAGACCCTGAGCCGAGCGGAGCCGGCTGGGCGGAAGTACCCTGCCCCAACGAAGGGCCAGTCCTGGGAACAACAGCCTCGGCTGGGGGACCAGGAGGCCTGGGCTCAGAAAGCTGTAGTGGGGACACCCCGGAGCACGTCTAGGAGGTTCAGCCAGGGGAAAGCAAGGCTCAGACGGAGTCCAGCCTGGCATCCACTCACCGAGCTGTGAGCGGTGCCCGCCCAGGCCGGGGCACCCTCCTCTGTGTGGTCAGGTACACCAGCTCCTGGCTGTGGCAGCCCTAGGAATCAGTGGCCTGGAAGCAGGGCCCCAGCACATGGCCGGGCCATGCTGGAGCCTGGGAGGGAGAGCCTGTGTCCCGAAGGCCTCGCTGTGACCCCGGCCTTCGTGGCCGGGACAGGGTCAGGAGGCGCAGCTGGTGGAGGCCCCGGGAACGAGGGCGTGTGGAGGAGGCCTGCCGCTCTCTGGGGCAGGCTGTGGCCTGGAGGAGCCACCCCTCCTGCTGTGGGCCCGCTGCCCCGGGAGGCCGAGGTCAGAGGGACAAGGGACTCAGTCAGGCTGCAGGCGGAGCACTCGGGTCTCCATCCGGGACGTTTCTTTGGCTCATTCAGGGCGTCACGTCTAGCCATTGGGGCTGCTCATGGCCAGGGAGGAAGGGCTTGGGGTCCCCAGCGGGAGGGTGGGCAGGGCAGGGCTAGAGGCAGGGCCAGGCCCCCTGGGTGAGCTGATGGGACAGGACCAAGGACAGACCCTCGCTCCCTCGCGACCCTCATGCAGGGAGGGCTGAGAAAGCCCGATCTGGGGGTCCCCGCTGGGAAGCCCCCCAGGACAGGCGCGGGCGGAGGGGGCGGGGGGGTGGCAGCGTGTCCGGCCGCGT